GAACAAAGTGCAGCGCTAAAATATGTCAGCAAATGCTGTCCTCATTGTGTTAAGTATATTGGCCGTATGAAACACCCAATGCAACCAGGCTAAAAAACACCCATCTGCTTTGCTTGGAGCAGGACTTGGGCCACAAAGTATATTAAAAAACCCTGCAGAACTACATTTCCATTTTGGAAGTAGTGCCAGTATCAAAATATCCGCTGAAAACCAAACCACAGGTTCTTTCCATAGCCCTCATTGCTATTTGTAAAATGTTAAAGAGACTGAGCTGAAAAGATGCCCATGGAGAATTTCAAATGGGGATGTAGTCAGAATCCAAACTAACCAACCACAATGTATTTCAATCAGAATATTTCATTTAAAATGAAACCATTTTCTCCCTTTGCCAAATCCCCTTGCCTTCCCTCTCAGTGTTTTAATACATCCCTATCTCAGCAATAAACATTGATAGATAGAAAGAAAACAAATCAAGGCTGACAGGATAGCAGAGTTGTTTCTGTCAACTCAGCAAAGGACATTAAGTGTGCAACCAGTAGTGATGAATATTCATCAGTTGATGAAAGAAGATTTTTCTCCCCACAACCAGCAAATTCAGATCCTGCTTTCAGATGCAGAGACTGCTGTTCATGTGCCAAGATGTGTATTTTCAAAAGCGGGTGTTAATCTGGAGAGTTTAATCAGCTTAGTTTCAATTAAGCATGATTTTTTCCTGCCAAAATTTGGTTCACTTGTTCTGTGACAGTCATAGCAGCACAGTGACCACAACAGCTGGGGTAAACTGGCTTCTTTTTGGTCAGCCAAAGCAGAAATCTTCTACAGAAAAGAGGGGTCATGAAGATTAAACCATCAAAAAAGATGCATAGCTCTTTCGATTCAGGGTAAGCTCTGGTTTTGCGTAAAGTTACGTTGCTGAAGTGCTTCATGGTAAGCCTGATATTTAGCAGTAGTAGAATTATGGAGTAATTTTAGCATGTGTGAGGTATCAGAATGGAATTACAAGCTTGGACTCTGCTTATACTGATGTGTTAAACCATCCTACTGGGTTTCATGGGACAGGAATATTATCATAGAATCATAGAATGGTTTGGGTTGGAAAGATCCTTAAGATGATCTAGTTCCAACCCCTTTCCATGGGCAGGGACGGCTCACACTAGACCATGTCTCCCAAGGCTCTGTCCAGTCTGGCCTTGAACACTGACACGGATGGAGCATTTACCAGTTCTCTGGGCAGCCTCTTCCAGTGCTTCACACCCTCACAGTAAAGAACTTGTTTCTTATCTCTAACCTGAGTTTCCTCTGTTTCAGTTTCAACCCATTACCTCTTGTCCTGTCACTACAGTCTGATGAAGAGTCCCTCTCTGGCATCCCTGTAGGCCCCCTTCAGATACTGGAAGGCTGCTCTGAGGTCTCCATGCAGCCTTCTCTTCTGAGGCTGAACAGCCCCAACTTTCTCAGCCTGTCTTCATATGGAAGGTACTCCAGCCCCCTTATCATCCTTATCATTGCACAAGGGTATATCTCATCTGCTGTGAAAACAATCACTAAAGAGCAGAACAAGGGCAGATTCCTCAGATCCTCTGCCTCTCAGTGTCCCAAGGCAATGTCAAGAGGTGGAGGATTACCTGCAGGGACAGAGCTCTCTGCTGCAAACGTGGAGGGAGCAGCCCTGGCCCTGTTTGCAGGGTACCAAAAGGAGCTGTCTGCATGGTTCCCTGGGATGGCTGTGGGAAGCTGTAGAGTTTATAGACCACTTCCCTTCTACTGTGGTCGCAGCAAGCTAACACTGACTCGGGGCCTGTCTCACTGCAAGCTAGGAGTGGTACATCACTGCAGGAGGCAAAGCACTGTCACATGTGTTTGGATCCTCACCAAAAAAGTGCAGAGATAACAAGTCGTTAAGCTGTCACTCATAAATGGAGCATTTAGAGAAAGATTAAATGGAAGTCATTGTCTCATTCTTGATGTTCTTGATCTGGCAGTGTTCAAGGCCAGTCTGGACAGAGCATTGGGCAACATGGTCTAGTGTGAGGTGTCCCTGCACATGGCAGGGGGTTGGAACTGGATGATCTTAAGGTCACTTCCAACCCAAACCATTCTGTTATTCTAAGTGGTTTTGGGTCCTTTTCACTCTCATTCCTACTGAGATTGGGTAGGGCACTGGTGTAACAAACTCACATTTGGCAGTACTGATGGCACCGGCCTTTCAGTTGGGCATTGGGTCCCTAGGTCACCATGTCAGGTGAAGAGTCCCTCTCTGGCAGTGTGGACTTTTAACACAGCATGTCCTTTTCCCATTACATCGCTGTCCCAGTCCACTTGTGAATTACTTCTTTCCACTTCCTGTCCTGTCCCATGAATGCTGCATGCCAGCACATTATTATAGGCCTATAGAAGCAGCTGGAATCTGGCCATTACCTAAATAATCCATTGAATTTGCTCTTTCAGATACTTTTACCAAAGCCAAAAAGCAGAGCATGCCTCCTGGTTGGAAATAACTGCATCTGGAAGATGAAGGGGCAATTTCAGTGGCAGTCAGTGATGCCTGCAGTTTAGCAAGGCTATCTGTTAGAACAGTTGTTTTGAGGGTGAGCCTGTGGGTGCCTCTACCTCCATGGTATTCATAATGGAAGCACCGTGCCCCTCCATCCAGGCTAAGCTCACAGCTTCACCATGGTGCCTGGTACCTCTTTTTTCCCTTGGGAATCAGTGCAACTCTTCTGAAACCCATGGGTTAAATCATCAGCTCTCTGGGACATGGTTGAAGTTGGGTTTTCTGAACAGTGCTTAACTTGCTAGTGATTTGTAGCACTTGAATGGAAGAAACAGAAAAGAAAGAACAGGGAAGTGCAAAAGCACTGTTTTCTTAGAAGTCAGGTCTGAGATTTTGACAAGTATTATTTACTAATGAGGAGTAACTCCTTGTATGTGCTGGTTTGGTTTGTGCAGTCACAGTGCTCTGGAGTTTGAAAATCTTATGCTCAGTTCAAGCTATGGATATTTTTCAGTTTCAGGAGCTGCAGAAGTGCATGTAACAAGTGTCCCACCATGTCACAGGGACAATCCATAAAGCAGGGAGTATTTGAAACCCAGCATGTTCTTCTGCAGCACCCCTGAAAGAATTGCAGCAGCTGTCTAATAGGGGGGGTTCAGAGAAGGCACCTAACGCCCCAAGAAGTCACTTTCTCCTTCCTCACACTGTCTTTTTTCTTCCTGGCTGTAACAAGTACAGCGAACTTTCTAGACACTTAACTTGAATAACCATAGCCAAGTGGTAGGGCAAGGCTTTGGGAGCCAAATTCTGAATTGATTTTGCATAAGCAGGGCTTTTTGTCAACACATAAAAGGTTTAAGATAAAAGCTTAGCAATAGGGTGCATGAGCTTCTATGTTGAACTTCAGTTAGTTCTAGTCTAACTTTGCTTGAGTATGGTGTTAGATGTCTCTGAGTATTTTAATTACCTTTCTTTTACTGAAGTCATTTCTGATGCAGAGGGGTCCAATCTCAAGAATCAGGCCACAGTTTGGAAGATGTGTTGGCTATGCAAAGCTCCACATTCTTACAGGCAGTTATTGCACACTGTAGGTTTAAAAGAGGATTCCTTTAGGTTTGTTTTATTTAAAGAGCTATGGTGCGTTGCTGGCTTTTGGTTTTTAGATCACATTTCTTGCCAGTAACATGACTGAAGTTGAAATGACAATTCCAGTATTCCAGTCGCCCAAAGATCCTTCTCTGGGATTGACAGTTCTGCTGTGGACGTAAGCCAGAGATAGCTGCTTGTGCTGAACTTTCTAGCTCTCAGTTCAAATTATTGTGTTGTCTTCCTGCACTGGTTTTATTATTTGTGTCTAAAACCTTGATCATGCCTTAATGCTTTAATTATGTACATTTATTTGTACAGTTTGCATTTTTATTGCAGTAATGTAAGTTTCTTACCTAGAGAAGTGAAAAGTATAGCTAATGTTACTATTGGCATTAATATTGGAATGGAGTGTGTTTGGACATCTATGGATAACATTTTGAGCTGTGTATTGCAAATGTGATGATGCCTCAGAACTGTTTGAAACCGAGACACTGACATGGGTTGTATTTGAGCACTCAGATATAGAAGCATATAGAAATCATTATCCTGCCTTTGAAAATGTTCGCTTTGCTTCCTACCTGCCAGCAGACACTGGCCTCATGTAGTGATGGATGGACTTATTAAAACTGCATAACAACATTTGTTACTGATCACAAACTCCATAGGATTTGAAAGGCAAGTTCAACCTCCAATACCTGATGTATTTTAGTGTTATATTTAGTGTTTGATAATGATACAGTTCCTCTAGCCTGTTGAAAAACGTGAATGCTGCATGAGGGAAATGATGTGTGCTAAGCTGCACGTACTGATCTACAAGCCAACTTTCTAATTTCCCCCCTTCAGGTTAGGAATGAAGTCTGGGAACCAGTGTCTTTAAAAATTCTGAAAACAAAGCAGAGGCTTCTCTTCTACCTCTCTTTATGTTGCTAAGTATATTGTGGAAGGGACATATTGTCTGGTGCTGTGGTGCTAGGAAGGGGGCCCAAGCATTTCTATCCTTTTGGTAGTGAAAAGCAGCAAAGTCAGGAGCCTCGTGAAATGCTCTCAGTCAAGCAAGAAGTACCTTGCTGTGCTGTGGGTGGAGGAGTCCTGAGGTGCAGGATTTCCCTGGTGGATGCCATGCAGCTCACTATGTTGAAGGGCTGTTGCCTGAGACGAGTTGTCCTCCTTTTACCTGGGCATGGTGCACTTCCCTTCCCATGGGCTCTGGGCTGCTGAGGTACACTGCTGCCAGCCCTGGCCCGGTTGAAGGTTGATAGAGGAGGGAGTGAAGTGCCACCGAGCATGGAAGCTCCTTGGGAGAGGTGTGCTGAGCCCAGCACAACCTGGACAGCGTCCCTTTCACCTGGGCCATGGGCTTGTGCTCTGAGTCCAGCCAAGCCTCGAGGCTTCCCCGGGGAGCAAGCTGAGCGCGGTTTGACTTGTGATTTGCGTTTTACTGAAGTCATGTTATATTTTACTGCCTTTGGAAGAGGCGGGGTGGAGGTGGGAAGGGGACATCCCGCCACCCTATTTCCCGGCTGCCCTCAGGGACGCAGTCAGTGCCAGTGATTGGATTTCCATATCTGAGTCTCCCTGTGCGTCTGCCTCTGTGTGCGCTTTCCTTCGGGTGGTGGTTTACCCTTTGCCTTTCCTCTTGTTCGCAGGCGAGCGAGCAGGGCGTGGTGTGATTGGCTGCAGACTGCACAGATCAGCCCCAGCGCCGAGTCTCGCACTCACTCGCACACGCACACCCCACAAAAAACTTCACCCGCGCTGAGCCTGCACCAGTCCAGGAGAGGAGTGAGCATCGGGAGCAGCACCTTCGCCTCTCGTCAAGAAACAACCTGCTCAGCAGGGGGAATAAACGCCATCAGTGCCAGCGCCGGGGAGAACGGGCGGTTTATTTCCTCCGCCCCACTTTTTATCTTTTCTTCTTATTTTCTTTTTTCCCTTCTTTATTTTGCCCCCCAGAAAGAGGAAAGCCCGCCTGTGTTTCTTTAGCACAGCCTGCTAAATCTGCACGTCTTGCTGCCGGAGTCTCTCCTGGCCGAAGCAAGCTGCGCTGGGGTCCCTGGCCTATTCCTGCCTGCTGGCCAGGACTCGGGGGACGCCGGAGCCTACCTGGCGAGCTCGGAGGGGCAGGATGGAGGCGTCTATCCGCTGGGTGCTGTGCCTGTGCCTGGGCTGGGGCTGCCTGTGCCTGGCTCTAGGGGATGCGCTGAAGGATCGCTGGGTCGGGCTGCGGCGGCGCACAACCCTGGGAGCTGTGCGGCGCGGACGGGCCAGAGCCGCTGCAGGTGACTGTGGCCCACGGCATGCAGAGGAGCAGCTGCAGCCGCGGGACAAGGTCTCGGAGCACATGCTGAGGCTCTACGACCAGTACAGCGCAGGACGAGCGGTGGAGCAGCCCCAGGACTTGCTGGGTCTGCCCCTCCGCCACGGCAACACGGTGCGAGGCTTCCGCCCTCTGCCCGCAGGTAAGTCCAGCTGTTGGAATGAGTGTGTCCGGTTTAGTGCCGGGGAACTGGATGGAGGGAAGGAGATGAGAAACGGATTGGCAAAGTAACGCTTCCTGCAGCCACAGTCGTGTATTTTAGGTTATAATGTTTATATTGCCTCACATATTTTAATCACTGGTTTATCTCTTCAACTCCATATGCCATGTCTGCCGTATGATAGCTGAGCACCATATGAGGGAAGTGGAGTCATTAACATATCCTCTCTGGAGCTTTTTCTTATCAGTGTTTTGCACGTGTAGCTTCTGCTGAAACCAAGGGCTGAGTTGCATGTGGTAGAGCAGAAATGTGGTTAGGCGACCCTATATACCATCTACAAGTGTCCTCATTTGGTGACACTGGTGACAGTACTGGCAATTAGGGGCAGTATCAAATGAGTTTAGTTGAAGCATCATTTGTGCATGGTAAATACTGCATCTCAACATCTTTGGCAGTGGAGCTTAGCTGTCTCTGTGATTACAGACTGTCATGCACAGGTAGATTTATGAAAATGTAAAGCCATTTTTCATAAGGGGAGATATGCATATAACATTGCAGCGTCCCAGCTAGCAAAAATGGAGGATGGCACTGTCTTGGCTCTGACCCTCATTGGATATGCTTCTCAAATCCACAGCATCCCCAAAACTGGCTGTTTGTATGATAACTGTCATGCTGTACGTAGCAGCCCAATTTGCCAGTCTTCTATTTTTCATTGCACTAGTGGATTGACCCACCATCTTTTTCATGGGCAAGTGTCTATTGGTAAAAGTCAGTGTCATCTGAGAGTTTCAGGGACCTGTATTGATTCTTTCCTCTCCCAGGAAACTGAGAGCTGGGTGCCAGATTTGCCTTAGGTTTCTTTGGAAGTCATTACTTCTGATTCTTCAAAGGCAACAGTGTCTCTTATAGGATAGCTCTGCACAGAGATCAAGTACTATAAATAATTGAATGGCTTCTGGTGTTTTAGGATTCAGCTCTATAAATGCTCTCATCAGACGTTGCTGCAAGTATTTCTGTCCACAGGAGAGGTTTTAGAGGTATAAATACCCTGGGTTTGAAGGATGGAGGGCTGGGACTCCCGAGCTGTTGTTCCTGCAGAGGAACTCTCTTGTTTTTCTGACGTGACCACTTTTTGCAAGGTAACATCTAATGTATGTTGCTTTGCTCTAAAATAAGTGGTTCCCTTGCTGAAAGAGGGGAAGGTATAATACTAAAAAAGGGGGAGGGTGTATAATCCCAGCAGAGTGATATTTGCTCCTTTAAACATATCTGATTAAATATATTTATTGTTCTAAACCTTAGAAGGCCTTTGGTTGAAATCCCATCTCTCTAGTCTTTCTGATTATATTTATACTCTCACTTGACATTGGGTGGCAGCAGTCCTATAAACACACTATTGAGTAATCTCTTTCTGCCTCCTCCAATACTTCCACAGCTCAAGTGCCAAAGCAACAAACTGCGTGTCGTTGTAAGCTTTTTGACGCTCTTGTAAGTATTAATGCAAACCCTTTAACCAGTTATCTGTTGTCTCTTTCTCGCCATAGGTAGTAGCAGCTCATGTTGTATAGTTATTGATGGCAGAAAAGCGATTTTCCAGAAAAACCTCAGGTCAAATTTTCCTCGGGGCAGTGGGGGGAGCAAAAAGGCTTTTTCTCCTTTCTGTCATTTTCCCTGTGCCCAACTGGCTGGCCAGTACTTTGAAGGAAATGGTACATCCACTGCATCTCCCTTTTGAGGTAGTTTGTTTCCAAATCCTCTGCTCTGACCGTTGCATTCCTTGACTGCACATTTCAGTCTCCCACAGGCTTCCTGTAGTCCTTACAATGTGGCTGCATCAGTTAAATTACTAAATTATGTTGCTGTTTCTCCTTAAGCAGATTTTACCATCCCTGCTGGCAGCCCCTTCAGGAGACAGCTTTTTGTTTGTGATGAGCAGAACTTCCCTAAAAATCTGCCTGTTTTCCTACATCTACAGCAAAAGGTCTTGAAGACAATCTTTAGTGATTTGATTTGCAGTTTAACCATACATTTTTCAATTTAATTGTATATTTTCAGGAGAAAAAAGAGTTTATTTTCTGAAACACAACTCTCGGGGTGGCTGTGAAACCTTTCAGTCCTCACTTTTCCCCTGGAGGGCTCTGTTTTTTCTGTGGTACACAGGAAAGGCCTCTCAGAGATTTCACTGGTAACCTGCCAGACAAATTGTTGATACCCTTTAAGACAGGTTGTGTGATGAGACCAACAACTGATAGCATTTGTTGAGACTTGTCCTCATTTCTAGTGGAAGAAAAGTGTTGTTCTATGTGGCAGCTGTGGTCTTGTGCTGGACAGCCAAGAAGAAAGAACTAAGATGTGACTAATCAAAAGAAACATCCTACCATCTGTTAAATGCAAGTTTCTCTTTCTGTGTCTCAGTCCTCTGAGGGGCTAGGATGAGAGCTTCAGCCCTGTGTGGCTACCTCTGAAGTTCCCATCCTGTGCTGCCCTGAATTCTCTTGCACACCAGATTCCACAAGTAGGATGGATTATTAGCGGTTTGTTGCTTGGGCTGGGGGGGGTTGGCCATTAGTTTTGATGATTGTTCATCTGATCTTATATTCAGGCAAATCTCTTTCCCGTTAATCTTGCTAAATTATCTCAAAATATAATTGTTCAGTTTGAGTCACTCAAAAAAGGAACCTGTGGTGCCCATGACAAAGCCAAAAGAAACCTCAAGCCCCAGATCCGTTTCAGTGAGGTAAGAATGTCTGTCATTCACAGTGGATCAAGTGACATTCCTGCACCATTCTCTCTCATTGACTTCACTGCTCTCATTTATGTCTATGTATTTGAATCAAAGGATGTTCAGCCTGTGATTTCTGTGGCAGTTTTCTCAGATTTCTGAGGTGGCACCAGCAGCCTTTGTCTTACTCAGGCCAGGTCTTACTCAGGCCAGGCTCTGCTTTAGGAAAAATCTCAAGACAAAGCCTTTTCTGGATCTTTACCTGTGGGTACCACAACAGTGAATGGTTTTCCGTCCCCTGGGACTCTACAAAGATAGCTGGGAGAGAAGCTGGGTGATCTGCAAGTTAGAACTGAACACTTTCTCTTAAGCTGTGGTTGAGTCTGTGCTTCAGCTTCTGCACATGAACATTTTTATCTCCTGCCAGTTAGCAGAACCACTGAATGACCAGACCTCCAGATGTCAGAAATCTGCTTGCTTTGAGTGCTTCCCCTAGAGGGGTGCTGATCTGCAACTTCTGAGGCTCAGGAGCTGGAGGAAAGATACAGCATGGAATAAATAAGAGAGAGCAGAAAGTTAAAAGCCTCAAATGCAAGACTTTCAGTTTGCTTTTGAAAGTGCTTTTAATCATAGAACATGTCTTGCAAATGAGTCATTTAAAAAAAAATCCACTTTAATTGGAGGGTCCCTCTAATGATGTTATAGTAAAGCTATACAGTCAGAAATTACTTTAAACTCTTTTTTAATTGACTGAATTTCAAGCAATTTCAGGTATTACACCTGCCCCTAGGCCGATTCTTGTGGTTTCAGAACTATGCTCTCCTCCTTTTCAAAACGCCTTGCTTTCCTTTGTTGTGGTATTAAGTGCCCACGGAAACAGGGGAAACTGAGCACTGCACAGGGAAAGCTCATCACTGACCTGCAAAAACCAGTATGGGCTGTGTTCTAGCCTCTCTGAGCTCTGGTAATATGAAGGGTCTTCTGTAACAAGACTTTTAAAAACATACAGGCAGGAGACAGGAAGAGTTTGTGGCTTTTGGGGTTTGTTTTTTTTTTTTTTTTGTAGCTGTACCCTTAGAAATAAAATACAGGCAGCATCCTGGTAATTTTTAGGCAAAGGGAACTTGTAAAGCATTAAGCTGGAATTTGTGTAGACTAGGCCCGAATCTGCAAACCTCCTCTAAGGAAAATGGGCAGGATCTGTAGGTTTGGCCCCTCAGGACCTGACTCAGAATTTGGGGTTTCTGGCTTGTGTTACTCCCTGCCTCACTGTGCTGTCACGCATATGCGTGATCAGTGCTCGCAGTCCCCACTTGGTGTCTCCAGCATGGCACTTTACATGTGAAGTGTTCTGACCTGAACGGGACACGCTGTGCACAGTGTGACCTACTGCCACTAGCTGAAGTGGAATTCACGAGGATGGTGAGAAGGAGTAGGGTTGGCTTTTTGTTTTCTCCTTCCTGGATTTGTGTACTTTATTGATGCAACCTCCTTAGCTGCTTAGCTTATGCTAACTTCAATATTATGTTCAGTTTTCAGACCTGCTACGGTCTTTCTGCTTAAAATATATAGAAAAGAGATGTTTTTCCCAGTGTGCAGCCACATTTATGATATGCAGTGTGCATATTTATGGTTTTTATATCATAAAATCCACATGTAGGTTCAATCCTAAGCATGCACCATTGGTGCTTCTTGAAATTATTTTAGTAACTGATAGCTTTAACCAGTCTAGTGGACTTTTTACTTTTTTATATCAAATTACTAGCTGCTATAACCTTATCTGCTTTGCTAAAAAAATAATAAACCCAATTTGACATCAAGTCTTATGGCTCTTTAAAAAGAGAGAACCAGATCCTGTATTTTCCTTTTGCAAAATACTCAAATTGGTAAGGGGGAAGCAGCAATTGATTTTGAGCAAAGGTAGGAGAAAACAAGAAATCTGACTTCCAAATCTGTGTTCCTGTTCTGGAACTTGTTAGCATTTCCTGGTCTGAGCAAACTTCTGTAGCTGGGCTATGAACTCATGAAAACAAGTTCTACAATGGAAACACTGATACATTCTTAACTCTGCACTGGCACAAGGGCACAGTTTATAAAATATTAAATATCTCATTTAAATGATGACTGATTATGACTGTATAACTAAATAGTCCTCGTTATTGCATTCTTTTTCACCGGCAGTCCCTAAAAATGTCAGTGCATCCTCTATAAAGGTAAACATACCACGTGTTAACAGACTTGTTCTAGCTTATTGATGCCTGGAATTGCCCCTTGTAACATGAATATGTTTATGCTGGTGATGCCAGTCTCCACAGACTAAATGCTTTTTCTTCAAATACCTTTTTAATGCCATAACAGGCATTCCATGCAGCTGTGGGCTATTGCAGGGAGGTGAGGAAGCACGGGTCATGCCTCTGACGAGATTCAGTGGGTACAAGTACTTTGGCTGTAGAGCTGTGAGCTGGGTGGCTTTCTGGTCTGAGCTATCCGTAAATAAGCTGGCATCTCCCATAGACAACATGGTAAACTTTGCCATGGTGCTACTGGGGTCTGGGTTCCATTCACATGAGAGAGTGCAGGCAGCTGAGTAATGACTTGCATATGGGCCAAGGAGGCCAATAAATATCTAGCTTATGCTTTCAACTGCATGTACCTCCAAAGTTCTAGTCAGTAGGAGCAAGCGATACTGACAGTGTAGTGATGTGATGTCTTCCCCATTGCAATTCAAAAGAGCTCTTGTGTACAGAGTTTGGTCTGCAAAATTCCTCATTGGGCTGGCAGCAACATACAGTGCTCCCTCAGCAGAGATTGCTGTTGAAATCCAGGCTCAGAGTATGTGGAAGGTATTACTTGCATATAGCTCTGTTACACATGTATTTCTTTTGCTCATTTCCCCTTCAGTCTTCTCCTCTCATGCTTTGTTGTTGAGAAGTCTTCTGTGCTTCCTGTTCTGTACTACAAAAGATCAAAGCTGAGATAGCAGAACTCATTAAAGAAAGAACTAAAAGACATAGCTCAAGTAGGGCTACCCTGATAGCGGTCTGCTGCTCGCAGTGTTGGGAAGTGTAGGAAATGAGCTAGGGAAGTTACTGCTGCTCATATAATACTAAGTTGTCACTGAAATGCATTGTATACTGCTGTAGATGAGTGTGAGGTTTACTAAGCACAGCTGCTCACAGGCTGCAGACAGAATCTTGCCAGGCAGCAAAGTGATGGCAGCATCCTAGGAATTCCATTTACGGAACATTGACAAGGTATTCTACCAGGGCTCCTCTGGTCTTCCCACCGCTGCTGCATCATAAGAGCCAGCCCTGGAAGAGAGGGACCTTCTGTCCAGCACCCCTCTGAAAGACAGCATCAAGAAAGCTGCTGCAAAGCTGCTGTCTTCACTGGGTTGGTTTGATATTGAAAACTTAAGAAAAAAAGCTATTCTGATGAGTGATCTTCTAGGGTGTCAGTTTCTGAGCTTGTGTTTTCCTTTCACCTGCAAAGCTGATTTTGACCTTCTAGATCAATAGAGGGCTTTCTTGCAAGGAGATCAGGTTGCCCTTAAGACCCTAAAGGAGGTCTGTCTTGGCTTAGAGTGCAACCTGGCCAGAGGCCTTGTCTGTGCTTAGTCAGTCTGCATCTTCCTACTGGCTGCTGAGCAGTTGTTGATGGACTTGACCTTGCAGTTTGCATACCTCTTCCTTTCCACTGAACATGGAGCTAGTGATGGCAGCATCCTAGGAATACCATTTACTGAACATTGACAAGGTGTTGGAATTAAAGCCCCACTCAGACTTGACTTGGGGTTTTGTTTAGGGTTCTTTGGGATTAGTGAGGGGGGTAAATCAATCAATGGAACAGTCTGTATGAGAGGAATTATTGGTGTAAGTAATTTTAAAAACTAAAGCCTCAGCTCACATCACTCAGTAAAACTTCACTTGTGTCAGTAGCTGGATGAGACTCATTGAAAGCTTCCCACATAACAAGGAAATTTAGTTAGATGCTACTGGATACCTCCTGGCCGTGGTGAGAAGTTTCAACTCTGCTCCTAACCTGGGCTAACAGCTTAATGACATTATGGTGGAGACAGGTTTTCAGCAGTTTCTGTCCTCTGGGTTTAAGGATAAAGTTTCATTTAAGGGGAGTGAAATTTTCCTGAGGAAAAATTGCATTTGTAGGTATTTTAAAGCTTTGCGTCTGTCATTTTTAATGCTTATGCTGCAGGAACACTTATTTCAGTGCATTGCTCACATCTGGGAGTCAGGGATCACTATCACACAATAGATGTGTTTGACATAGCGTTCCTAAGTTGTGACACAAACCCAGGCCGCACAGTTGGGTTCTTCCAAGCCGGAAGCCAGCAAATCTGTAGACATCTGTGCCAGCCACTAGTCACTGGTTTCAAGCTGATTTTGCAGCTTGAATGATGTGAAAACTTGAGAGATGGTTGAGTGTGATCATTTAGTGAGAAAATAGCACCACCTGCTGCAAGTTCTTAGGTTTGGGTGTAGAGTTAAATGCCAAAAGTGGCTTTTTGAGTTTTGCTTTCATTCAAAACTATATATTCCTCCTGTTTCATACCATCTAGGGTTTCTTTATAAACCAAAGCAGCTTGTTTTCTGTTCCACTACGATATGCCAATTTAGAACAGGCAGTATTTGTTAAGTGGAATTCTTATTAAAAAATTCTTATTAAAAAATAAAATCCAAACATACAACAGTGATTCACATAATAACTTCTTGAACAGGCATTCATGAGATAGCATAAATTCTGGTTCCTAAGTCTGATGTACTTAGTGCTCTGCCAAATTACGTATTAACTTTATTATAGTAGCAATTACAAACCAAGCAGAGGTCAAGTCCTCATGTGTGCTTAGTACAAATGTAATAAACAGATGATATCGGCTTGAGGAATCGAAAGCAGGACTGAATTCAAAGGGAATCTAGTTCCCCAGGCATAAGTAATAGCTAGAAATTAGGTGGGTGTGGTACCATAGTTTCAGCTATTGGGAACTTACCTATATGATCCACTCATATACGTTGGGCTGAATGTGTGAATGAGGGTGTCTTCTGTAAATTATTTGGCCTTTTTTTTTTTGCCTGTTTGGCTGACAAACGTATATGTTGTTGTTTCCCTAATTTAATGAAGCAGCACATGTGATCTGCTGGGAAGGGTGCTGTCTTTCCAGAGATGATTCCTGTCTTTTTAATGTATCTGTTAGAAAAAAATATTTATAAGAGGCTACTCTGATTGCTGGGGTGAGGATGGAGAGGTAGAGGGAGAATATACTCTTTTGATGGACTTTATTGATGTTAGCAGTTGGGATGTCGCAGGCTGGAAGCACAGAATGTCACCCAGAACATAAAGCTGTCAAACTCTTTGAAAGACCTGTACTGGAAATGACGCTTTTCTGGATCTGTGGCCGAGTTGGTTTCCTGAAGTCAGAGGACCAGTAGGAAATGTGTATTTCTGGATGGAGTCAAGTATTGTAAGGAAATTGGATGGAAAGTGCTTTATTTACAGTCACCAGTTTACCAGCTTGGTTATTTTTCTGAATAACAGCCTAAACCCATTCCCACAGCACTGTGTGAAAATGTCCTGTGAACTTCACGATCCTTTCTCCACTGTAATGTTGTGAAATGCCTATATTCTTATACAAGTATTTCCCCTTTTAGGGAGCCCTGAAAGCCAGAAGATGTATGTTTTTAACTTGACATCCCTCAAAGAGTCTGAAAATGTCTTGTCAGCTTCAGTATATTATTATACTGGTGATTTGCTGCATGTGAAGTGGAACTGTTCTGGGTCCAGAGACTGTTCTCATCACAGGCACAGGAAACCTGAAATGCAGATACATCTTTCAGTCTGGACCTTACCTTCTGTGGGGAACAAGACTTGGACCCTAGGACATTTCCTCATCAATGTCTCCATAGCTCACCAGGACACCTTTTCCTGGCAGAGAAAGGATATCACTCAGCTCCTGCATGGAGCAAAACAAAACAATGAACTACTGATAGGTGTCAAAATGGATCTGAGCAACCATTGCCCCTGGGAACGAGCACCTTCTCTCTATGAACCCTACATTCTGATTTATGCCAATGATTCTGCAATTTCAGAGCCAGAGAGTGTCATCTCTAGTTTGCAAGGGCACCATCATCTTCTGGCGAGGGTCCTTCCCAGGCCGGAAAACCACGTGAGGAGCAGCCTTGGGAAGTGGCGACAAAAACGCTCCACAAACATCCTCTTGCCATTGCAGAATAATGAGCTTCCAGGAGCCGAGTACCAGTACAATGAGGATGAGAGATGGGAGGACAGAAAACCCTACAGAAGCCTCCAGCCACAGCTGTCAGACAGGGCAAAGAGTAAGAAAAAGCAGAGGAAGAATCCTCACCAGAAGAGCCAGGCCCTTCAATTCAATGAGCAAACGCTGAAGAAGGCGAGGAGGAAGCAGTGGAATGAGCCCCGGTATTGCACCCGGCGTTATCTCAAGGTGGATTTTGCAGACATTGGCTGGAACGAGTGGATTATTTCCCCAAAATCCTTTGATGCCTATTACTGCTCAGGGGAATGCCAATTCCCAATTTCAAAGGTATGGTCTTTATTACTTCATTTGCGCTGTTACCACAAACTGTGCATTTTCTTTCTTGAGTCACTAAAAGGTGGTTGGTCACCCATTACATGTTCAAATGTAGTAAGTGGTATCTTTGTGTCATGCTGCAAGGATTAGTGGTTAGAAGAGCTAGTAAAAAGACAGGCTTGTAAAGGCAATTAAAACAAAAATACTGCATGTTATTTTTTTTGTCCAGTCCCCAAATTTAGTGTGAGGTGTCCCTGCCCATGTCATTGGGGTTGGAACTAAGGTCCTTTCCAACCCTAGCTATTCTAGGAATCTATGATTCAAAATTGCCAAAAATACTTCCCGCATAGCGAGCAGTCAGTTGGGATGCTCAAATTTAAGCAAAAGACTCCAGTGATGAATTGCTTCTTTGATGGAACAAGTGGCTCCAAAGGCAGTGGATGCTGGCCACCTGACTTGTGAAATGCCCTCTGGGTGTGAGGTGGTTGCATGTAGGTAGCAAGAAAGGGTGATGTGCTCCTGAGGCAGAAAAGCTCTCTTTTAATAGTCAATACATAGCATGTATCTGCAGGGTTAGCCAGTGCCTGATGTAGACTGGTTGCTCAATAATAAGCATGCTCGAGAGCAAACAAGGGTTTCTCAAAAGCAGTTTGAATGTAGTGGCTTTAGAAGCCCTTGCTTCGACTGTCAAAATAGGAGATAACAAACTTCAGACAGAAAGCAAGTCTCTCTTCGAGAGTGCAGGTGAGACTTTGAGAACACAGGTTCTCCAGCAGCAAAAATCATCATGTATCTTTGTGGAGATAGATAAACTTGCAGAAACCTAAAGTAATGATGAAAAAGCACTGTGATATCAAGGGTGCTATTCCTTTCACAGAGCCTTTGCAAGCCTACCATCGCTAGGTAGTGACATGGCTTTGTGGTGGACTTGGCAGTCCTGGGGTAATGGTCTCTTCCAACCTAGTTGATTCTATGATTCCATCGGTAGCGTGCTCCATAACATCATGGCCTAACTCCCAGACTTCCTTCAAACCTCTGGAGAAGAGCACAATGAGTGATGCAAATGCTCCCGTGAGTAAAAAGTCCTGAGATGAGTTTAGTACCGGTGGTTCTGAAGAGGCAAAGTGAAGCTCAGTTCATAGAATCATAGAATGAACTAGTTTGGAAAAGACCAATTTATGTTCTGCCAAATTCAGGTTTTGCTTTCCTGCAGGTAAAGTATCTCAGTGCCCAAGGTACTGCGATTTAGCTCCAGTTTCTCAGATAAGTACACTTGCACTATTGGCTACTCTTATGGTAGCTAAGTCTGGCAGTCCCAAAGGAGTGTTCTTCCTCCTTCTTCATCCCTCTGCTCTGCCTGGGGTAGGCATGTACATGCTACCAGAAGTGGTCTCTGCTCTGGAAAAAGCTGATAGTAGAAAAAAGGCAAGAAATAAACAGCAAATAAACAGCAGCAAATACAGTGCAGAGTTTAAATGACTTTGACATGAAGCAGGAGGTCCAATTGCTATAAACTAAGCCTGCAAAGCCATAACCGGGAGAACAGTTTCCTTCTCCAAATTCTATTAAAGGGCCTAATCTGGCCTTTCTGTGTGCAACTCTCTGGACTCAGTTGTGTGAGGGATTATAGCAGCAGAGCATTACAGTTATTTAGGCACTGTGAAGCTGAACGTTTGCTGCCAGGTACTGCATATAGAGTGGGATACCAACACCCCGGTGAGTCTGGTTCCCTGAAAGGAATTGCTAAATTCCTGTCACTGTTGGAATTCAAATTGTTCCTCTTGTGCACTTTTTGAATTGTGAAAACCAAAATGACCTTGTTTTCCAAAGAGAATGGAAAGCTAAATTCTATAAAAAGGTGAAGCGAGCGCATTCTAGAGCCATGTGTTATTCTTGAGCTATGCATAGTGTCTTGTGCAACTAATAAGACCCTGTTTGCAAAGTGATGCTATAACCATCAGTCAATAGCAAACTAATCTGTGCCTATGAGTATATAATGTTCTCTTGCTGAGGGCGGGTTCCTGAAGTTCACAACCTGATGGGTAAGGAAGCATGGACGTGCCTCTTCTACCCTTCCCCTTCCTACCTCCACATTTTCTGGCCTTACCCTTTCTGAGATTTCATAGCTGCTTTGACTGCTGACAGACCCACATGCACTGGGCTTGCCTAATGCTGCAGAGTGCATTCCCAGGTCGGGAATGAAAGCTCAGAACTGACACCATTTGCCCTGCCCATAATCCATCATTAAGGGAATTCAACAGAGCAGCAAGACCCCGAGTGATGGTGTGCAGCTTGGCTGGAGCTGCAGCTGGACTTGTTTACACATCTGTCAGTTTGGAGGCAGCTCGGCTTCTTTTCCTCCCACTGCTCCTCTTGGCCTCCCCTACTTCTCCTCTCCTAAAAGCAAATCTCTGCCCACTTTCCATGACTGGGGCAATGGCCTGAGCTGGCCCTTGTGCAGGGCAGTGTGCCGGGTCAGTACTCTGGAGGGAATTCGCCTTCCCACAAAGCACACCCCTTTGGATTTTACTTGGGGTCACAGTTACGTTCCCACTGGCAGAAGCGGAGCCGGTTATCCCCAAGAGTGTACTTTAAGGGCCAGAGGCAGTGTATCCCAAATGGACTTCAGCCAGTATGGAGGCTGTTCTGTCTTGTACAATACATGTATCAAATGGAGATATTTCTTTCATCATAGAATGACAGAACATATCCAGGTGATTCCCACAGGCAGCTGGGGCCGTCCTTCAAATTAGTTCTATGCAAGTTAGCATTTTATTGGTACGGATTCCATATCTGAACGGAAGGGTTTCCTATGGGAACTTAACACAGCACCTTCAGACACCTTTTTTACTTTCAGTACTACTGGCAATGGGAAACTGGGTCTTGGTAGATGTTTTACCTTTTGATGTCTGACCAGCAGGCTCAGGAGATCCATTTGGCTCCCAGGTCCCTTTGTGGAGAATGCTGGACTGCACCTGAGACAAGAGACAAGGCTGGATGGTACCAGAGCTTTTGCCCCCTTTTGCAGGCAGAAATGATGCAGAAATCTGTGTTGTATACTAATCTAAGACATTTTCTTATATCCCTATCAATTACTACTGAGGAGCACAGGTATTCTTGAACTCCAAACAGAGATGTCTTTCTTGAGATGAGCTGCCTAGATCATAGACTCGTAGAATCACAGATGGAGATGATGTCTTTGTAAATGTCTGTGTAAATGTCTTTGTAACAATGCTGGGAAACTATAGCCATGAGGAGGATGGTGCAACAAACTTTGCATTTATGTTTTGAACAAAGCATCACCACTCCCCTGCATCTCATTCATCTGATAAGCTATGACAGTAAACTTAAACAGCCACAGGGGTAAAAGGTCAGGCAGTGTGTAACATCTGCATGTACAAGAGTAGCTGAATGCTGCCCAGTGAATCCTTTGCAGGTTCTACTAAATTGCAGCCCCAGTGTGACTTAATTTGATAGAAGATATATTGTACAGCTGATCAGCTGTGGGGTCTCTATAGGACCCTTCTTGAAGAAACCAGTTTTGTTCTAGGGTATGCGGGTCCCTTCTAATGTGGCTGTAGTAGTTATATTCTCTGTCCTATTTTTCTCTTGCAGGCCTTGAAGCCATCCAACCATGCCACCATCCAGAGCATAGTGAGAGCCGTTGGTGTCGTCCCAGGCATTCCTGAGCCTTGCTGCATTCCCGACAAAATGTCTTCTCTTAGTATCTTATTCTTTGATGAAAATAAAAATGTGGTTCTTAAGGTGTACCCCAACATGACAGTGGAGTCCTGTGCATGCAGATAACGTCTCAGGAGACCCTTTTGAAATGCTGAGATGATCACTTGCTGCTGGGGAGGGCAGAATGGGCTGGGGAGTGTTTCGCAGTATGTACTTTTTGTTTGTGCTGCCAGTGCATTTTGTTTGGACAAAGAGAAAAACAATGTAAGGAAATCCAAACACTGAGGATGGAAATGGAATGGCAATTCCAAGGAAAGAGAACACAGACTTCATTCATCTTGAATTTGACCAAGACACGAGTCTTGGGAATGGGAACTTACTGTCTCTGTTGAAATCAAAAGATGGAAGAGGAATTTGCAGAAGACTCTTCAAGATTTTTGAGACTGTCAGAAGGACATCTTGATTTATTTTTGTACAAGGCGCTGGAAGCAGCAGCAGTAGCTCTTGATTTTTGTCTCTGTTCTTACGGTGACTAAAGGGGAGAGAAATTCAAAATATACTGGTCTGGATTTTAAAGCTAAGCTTTCTGCCGTAGGTTATTGAGTAGTGCAGCAAGGAGGAAAAACAAATCCGATATCCTAAGAGCCTTAGGTATACAGCTTAAGATGTATTCGAATTAATATACACTGACTAAATGTGTGTATTTGTTTTCCTAGTTCAGCCTGTTAGATCTTGTTGCCCCCAGTCAGAAGAACATAAAATGCATTATGGCTGCCTGCACAATTGGGGTATCTCAAAAGCACCACATCTTCCAGAAACCAGAATTGTCTTCCATGGTGCTCCAGAAGTGGTGTGCCAAGGGTGTGAATGTATCCCACTCAGTGAAGTGGCCGAGGGACTTGTTCTAGAACACAGTTGCAAATAATCTGTGAGTAAATCATGCCAGGCAATTCCTGACGTGAAATTATTTGGTCCGTAATTCTTAACCTGTAGGCCTTAGCTACGATTATTTGACCAAAATTGCCTCTGTTTTGATGGTTACATGAATCAGTAGATGTTTTTTTTTCTTTTTTCCTTATCTCAGTTCACTTCTCTGAAAATCAAATTGTCCATACTTATGCTGTCAATTTAAGGTTTTCTTCTAAAACATCATTTGAGAAACTACAACCAGGAAAGAAAACATCTAATTGATCTCAGGCACAGCTGCAAAGAGTTTGTTCTGTTACAGAGTAAATGCTCACAGAAGTACTTTAGACAGAATCCCGGTTCTCTTTCCAGCAGCACGATCTGCTTTTGAAAGCACTTTTGGCTGGTGAGAGCAATGTTTCAGTTTGCAATGAGTAAATGTTAACCAGCGTTTTCCTAAGTTACCATCATAACAGACTCTCTGAAATAGCGTGTTTAGAGGGCAAATATTCAGAGGGAATAAATCAATTCTCCATCACCACGAGAGTTAAATTCTCTACTTGGGAGTAAGCAATTCCTCAGTAGATTGAAAATGACAACAGGAAATGCTTTTTTGCATCTTCACTGCTATTGGAGGCCAGTTTAAGCACTTCGTCGTTGATTTCTATATGTGGCCACTGGTGCTGTCATGTTTACTAACCTGAGTAATATAATATGCATGTGCAAAACCACGCACTAAGTGTGAAACTGTGTAGGTTCATTTGATCCACTTCCATATGCAGGAGAAAAGTCATATTCTCTGTGCAAATTGACTTAAATCTTTGCAAATAGACTTAAAAACAGGAGGAAAAAAATCTGTGCTTTTCTTCTGGCTAAGCAGACAGTTGCAGGCAACCACGAGCTTTTCATAACTGTGTCTTGGTAATGGAAAAGAACCTGCTTACCTGTCTGTTGCAGGGCTACGTGAGCCGCTGTCTTTAAGGACAGGCAAAAGAAGTGATGTACACCACAGGCTGCCCTGTGCCACTGGCTAAGCTGGAAGCAGGCCGGGATTTTCAATAGTCATTAGGCCTGGCAAGCAAAACCAGAAGCAGCAGTTTGGAATAGCTGTTCTTTGTGAGAGCTGCCCAGATAAGTCCATCATTTTTAACAGTTCAGCATGACAATGGCTGCTTTTAAAACACAGAAGCTCAAACAGTAAACCAGCTAAGCCTAATGTTCAGTTTGTAGAGAGCTTGTTGCAAAACAGCTTTTATAGAGCTTGACAAGGCAACCTCACCTTTGTGCAATATGTTCTCTTTGCTCATGGTGAGCTGGCTGGTTGGTGGTAAGTAGCTGTTACTGCCAAAATCGTTTCCTTCACAGTGTTTTTGAGGCTCTTGAGGTGTCCTGAGTAGAAAGGTGGGAACTGCTCTGTAGCCCTCAAGGTCTGGATTTCTCCCCGCATCACCCAGTGCTAGGATTACAGAATGGTCTTTCCTTTAGAGTAGCACCGGACTCCACCTTCCCCAGTGCAGCACAGCCAGAAGAGGCAGCTTTGTGACTCCCCACGGGAGGGCTGGGGAGGACCTTATCCCACTGCAGATGAGACTGGTGCTTCAGAGAAGGATAGTGGGCCCCCCAGGAAAAAGCTGGGGAAAATGGACCCTGCAAGGTAAGGAGCTTCCCACTCGCTGTAGATGAATTGGAGCAGCTGGCTCTTGAGCAGAAGATGGGGACTGAGCCAAGCCCACCTCAGCCTGTGAATGGTGTCTGGCATGAGCAGTGCCAGGAACTGAGCTCCTCAGAGGAAAATGCAGAGTTCAGATGTGCCCTGGCCCACCACTTGGATGGTAGTGGAGTTCCTCAGACCAGAACAGGGTGTTTGCAGCCAAGCTTCCCAACGTCTGATCTCTGGAGCAGAGGCACTAACTAAATACAGGTAGTGTATATAACTTCGTACTAGTAGGGACTTCAAAACGATTCCCAACTCTGTTGTTAATCACCATTTTCATCTCAAATCAGCACGGGGGGTGGGGGAAGCTTTTCCCACATGTTCTGCTGTTTGAAATACTGTTCCTCAATAAATGGCTCTGCTTCCCATCTAATTACATGGTATCTGATGCCTGCATGTTATTTTAATGGCTGGCTCATAAGATGGGCAGGAGAATGTCTCGAACTATGCATGGTCTCTCTTCAGATAGGCTCTTTGGGGAGCAAAGTCCCCAGTGAGGATCAGACCATAGGAGACTGCTGCAGAAAGCTCTTGAAAATCCCACCCTTGGAGGCTGAATTTGGAATCTCATGGAAACCTCTCCTCTGTTTGGAACAGATTCACTCTGAAATTAGTGGTGTGATAATAGGGCCAGAAGAAAAGAAAAAAGAGGAAATATGCCTGAATTGGAGAGGGATGGTTCACAGGATTCTGATTCTTTGATTGTTTCTCAGCAAACTGCCTATCACACTTAGAACTGCTTGAGAGTTCTTGCAGTTTAGATGTGTGTGCTACTTCTATCATGCTAGTTTCCAAATTAAGGAAATGGGATATAAATATTATTCAAGTTTGTGAATTTTATAAAGCTTGTGCTATTTTATAAATCGCTCCAATAATATTGTCAGACTGTTAGTGATTAGGTAACACAAACTTGGGCTCACAGAACTTCAGTATCCTGACTAGGAAAAAGAGTAAACAGCCAAAAATAAACCTCAAGTAAGACTCTCATTTGTTTTTCCCCTTGGCTAACCTTCAGAGTACTGGAAACCTGGATTTTGGCCAGTGGTTTATTGATTAAGGGCTCAAGTGTCAAGTTAAGAACTTTTGAAGTTTGGTTTGCAAGAATTGTTATGAAGGTATTGTAATTGTAGTCTTGTAATTATAGACTGTAAGTTTTTCTTTTAATGAACAGGGAGGAAAGTTGTTCCATACAAACTAAAGGGCATTTTATCCTTTCCATTGCCAACATAAATCTGTGGTGTTCATTACACCATAGCTTAAACTTCATCTGCCACTGTCTTTGATATTCACCTTGTCCTTTTTGGATGATTTTTGTGTGATGGAGAAGAACATGATCTACTGAAGTGGAAAGTAAGCTTCACTTTGCAGAAAAGAATCCTGGAGTCCAAATAGAAAAGTTGAACATGAGGCAGCAGTGTGCCCTTACAGGAATAAAGGCAAAGAGGGCTGCGACGAGAAAGAGTGACAGGAATAGGGAGAAAAGTGATTATTCTTCTCTACTGGGCACTTGTGAGATTTCATCTAGAGTACAATGCCTAGTTCGGAGGTTCAAACTATAACATAGACATTGACAGAAAGGAGCAAGTCCAGGGGAGGGCAGCCAAGATGTTTAGGAGGGTGAACCACATGGTGTGTATGTTTTCAGCCTCTGCCTATACTATGTCATCAATTTATCTCTTCCCAAGTGCAGAACTTTGTATTTGCCTTTGTTGAACTAGAAGAGGTTTGTGGCAACCCATTATGTTTAGCTCTTCTGCTTCTTGAGCTTTTTCTGAATGTTAGCTCAGCCCTTCACCATATCAACTGCTTGCCTCATTTTAGTGTCAGCTGGAAAACTGCTGAAGGTGCATCTTATTCCATCCTGTTAACACTCTCTGTCCATACTGTTAATGAAAGCATTGCATATTCATGAGCTATTATGCTGTCTTTAAAAAGAAAAGGCTAAAGACAGAATATTATGGGTCATCAATCTCTCTTATTTTTCCATTATAGTGTGATAATTCATGTATATATGGAGCTTAAAAAAATTAAATGCTTACTAAATATTATAAGGGATCCAGATTAGGGGGTCAGTCCTGTCAAGGTTGTTTTTTTTTTTCCAAGACTCCAGATGTTAGCAGGGAGAATTTCTTCCCACCTCTCTTCAGCTACCAGGAAGCAGTTTTTTTTGCAAACAGATTATTGAGACCCTTGGCATTGTTTCATTTTGTGCCTGTTAGCTATCTTAAGTATGTAGAAAAAACAACTCCCAGTAATTCTGTCTTTAGGAAAGATATCCACTGTAATTCAAAGCTAATCTATTCACTTGTTGCCTAGCATTACTTACAAATGATTTTACATTTTCAGCTTTTTTTAAATCTTATTATATACTTCATAAATGGTTTAACAATTCCTTTTTTTTCATGATGGAAATAATTTTCTGAGGAGATTATTTATATATAAAGTTCAGTGTTGGAACAGGTTGCCCAAAGAAGTGGTGAATGCTCCATCCCTGTCTGTGTTCAACTCCACGCTGGACAGAGCCTTGGATGACATGGTCTAGTATGAGGTGCCCCTGCCCATGGCAGGGGGGTTGGAACTGGGTGGTCTTAAGATCCTTTCCAGCCCAAACCATTATATGCACTAAATGACCTTTTCCAGGCTTTACTGCCACAATCCTGGTTTTGGCTAATGTCCTGAGGTAACCGCCACTAGCAGTGTAAGCAGAGATGCTTATCTGAATGTTTAAAACCCAGTTTCCATTATATGGTACAGCAAATCCCAAACTTTATACCTTTTGTGTTAATGTGATTGAAATCTCAGGAGCTAAAGTAGAATTGAAATTGTGGAGTTTAGAACAATAATCCTTATTCATCTTGTGGTCCACTGCTTTGACTTTAAGTCAAATGTCAAGAGATTAATTAGATTTCAAATGTCTGTGTGTGCCATATTGTTAAACTCTGTTAAATATTGCATATCCACAAAAGTGGCACTCAGGAGACCAACATCCAACTTTAACCTTTTTCATGAAAAAAAAAAAAGAAAAGACAAAAAGTGCGTCAGTCTTTAACATACACAGGTCTTTGACATAATGATAGGTAAATAATGAATTCTGAGCTCTCTAGTTACATCCCAAAGTTTTCTAACTTATCTAAATCTTTGGAAGATGTTCTTCTGTATTTCACTTTCTCAGAGATAATTGTATTTCAGCTTCAGTCTCCAAAAGATGTTTGATTATTCTGCCCATAGCACAGTTTTTAAGAACAGCTTCCTAGGAGCTCTCTCTCACCTGGTAAATTGTCAGTGTTCATGAAATTAAGCAGTAGGCAGCACTTGGCAACGCAGATCTTCCTCATGCCACACCAACCTATACAGTAGTCTGAACAACACAGAGAAGGTGTTGGTGTGACACTGTGTAAGACCTGGATTTTAGAGATACAAGTGAGTTGTTGGAGTGGCTGGTTTCAAAGTTGCAGGATTTTCTTCCAAAATGGGAGAAACTAATTCACCCCTACAGTGATCAAGAAGACCATAGACTAGTCATACAGGAGAAGTCTATTTGCAAGGGAAAGGCAATAGGTATAAAATCCTATAAAATATATTACTTAAATGAGTATGCCTTTAAAAAATAAAACAAACCCTGCAGACTTAGCCTGTGAAGAAATCAGACACATTCAGACTGTTTCTGAAGCCATTTGCTTATTCTTTAGTAGCCCTCTTTATTCCTAAGAGGAGTTTTCTGCAAAATTTTTACAGGATACAATATAGGAATGTTTATTTGTTTGTTCAGTGACTGCAGACAGAAAATCTGTTGTTTTATGGCAATACTTTAGACCTGCTAAGCAATGTGAAGCTTAGTTCATACGCAACATATTGTAGTTCTGGATGGAAAGATTGTCAGGGAGAGCAAGTTAGGGAAATCAATATGAGTGAGAACCTAAAACCAATTATTTTTTCAAAATTGGTATTTAATCAATATTTAGAAACAAAACACTTGGTCAAATAAATGTAAAGCAATAAATTATTTTGAAATACAAAAAATAAATGCAGACAGGCTTGTGTTATCCTTTCTGAGTAGTAGCAGTTATTGTACATTTCAGTGTGACAGTGGTAGTCCCTCGTTAGGAGGTATGCACCTTATAGCCTCTGCCATGCAGGACTTCAGCCTTTCATAGCTCCATGCCAGTACTCAGCTCTTGAACTCTACAGAGATGCCTCTAAAGACACATCTAAAGACAGCATAGTAGCTACTACGTTAATTTGAGTTACAGCTTATATGAGAAGTCAGTGGTGGTTGAGCCTGAAGAAGTCTATTCTATGATGGTATGAAGTTCAAAATGTTTTTTAACAGTATTAAGACATATTTTTCTGACCCAAAGTGCCAGTCATTTAGGTAGAAGTGTATAATATTACATGGGTAAACTTAGAAGCTTGGTATCGTAAAAGATAGGCTGACACAGGTTATTTTTCAAAGACTTCACAACTGCTGTGCTAGTTTGACATGATTCCCACCTATGATATTCATCAACACAGCCATCTGAAGAGGGAGAAAATAGAAACGGTAATTGCTGTGAGAAACAGTTATGTCAATTCAAGAACCAAGCCTGTTGTTGAGAGCCGTACCTGTAAGGCACAAAATGTCACAGCATGCTTGCTAAGACTTCAAAGGATAAAGTAAGTTCATAAAGGCTCAACAGGTTGTTACATCTTGTCTCACCAGTGCTGCACTCTAACAGATCACTGGTCTTTTCTGTAGTTGGAGTAGGATCCTTCCTGGTAGAATCCCTGTGGCCAGCCAAACAGATCATCTTGCAGCATAACTGCCTGCTTAAACCAGCTAAGATGTCTCATTTTAACACCTAATGGATGGAAGAGAAAGAAGTAATAACAAAAAAAATGTTCAAAATCTTTTCATTCCATGATATTCTAGCCTGAAGGGCCCTATGCAGAAATCTGATGGCATAAGTGATCAGCTTAGTTTAACAGTGGGAGGTTAGTTCAATAAATATAGCAATTTCAAAACTCAGACTGTCTTTACATTTCTAATATGCCAACTGTAAGGGACATTTTTTATGCTTATCCAAATCCTAGACAAAATTATAACTTCAGATTTTAGCTGAATGATTACTCCAATAATGTTAGAAGCAGAAAACTAATTTGAAAAATGAAATTTGTATGTTACAATGGAAGGCATTGGTTTTCCTTCTGAGGATGTGGATATCTGAAGGTTTTGTAATGACAAACTCAGGATTGTGAAAAAAGGAAAAAGTCTTCAAAGTCTTATGCTCCTCTTCACCCACTTAGCCAAAACCTGATTTTATTTTCCTCCCCTCTAAGGCAGTTTGTATCCATAGCCTGCAGGGCTGTTGCACAAGAATGAACAGCAAACATCAAAAGCCGCACAGGCAGACAGGAGCTGGTGCAAAAGGCCTTAGTTTCACTGACAGTTTTTACTGTTTTCTTCAGGTCACCCGTGCCACCTTGGCAGTGGTGTTCACGGGGCAGAGCCTGGAGGCTGTCACTCTTTGAGTGGCTACCAGTCCTCCAGCTCAGCCTTGGGGAAAGCTGTTTTCTTGAGGGACACACAAGTG